GAGACATCGGCTAAACAGTACAAGAACCTACTGCACAGCACCTGCAAGCAAGTGAAAGTAACAATTTGAAAACGTGCGTCTTTCCCGTGGCAACTTATGGATGCGAGTCATAGACCCAGTGTTTTGAGAAAAAAGTCGAAGCTTTTAATTGAAATGCTACATGTCTGTTGTTTTTGTTAGAAAACTATAGCCCGAGAAAAAGAAAAGCAGAGACGTCCTACCTACATGATCTGAACATCAAGGAGAACTGGCCCATAAACAGCATCCAATCCCCAAAAGCTGCGGTATTTTGTCCAGGTTAAAAGTCATAGCCGCCAGGAGAGAACAAATGATGGGAGGGTACATTTTCCGGAAATGAAGCAGAGGCAGGCCTCAGCGAAGTGGATACAAGACATCGGCTATGAAAGCCCACAGGGCTGGAGTTTAGAGAGAGTTTAAGACGTGACATGGCGAGAGCGACAGTTTGTGATGGACATGCTAACTGATAATGAGCTACTTCAATACTACCTGGACGTAGCAGCAAAAGTAGAAATAGTAGTCTTCTGCTTCTTCTTCAATCCTTCTGTCAGAAAACTTATTTCAAGAGACCGGTAGCCTTTATGAAAGCTATCGTGCAGTCAATATCTTCTCGTGTACCATACAGTTTTGTCTTCATTGTGGTTGGAACAGGCCAGATTGCGTTTCTCTTGTCAGCATACAGTTGACAGTGTTGGAGCACATGCTCAGCATTTTCGGGTGCCAAACTGCAGGGGCACATCTCAGTGTTTCCTACACCGACAAGTTTGAACATATGTTGACGAAATCTGTTGTGCCCTGTCCTTAATCTGAATATTATACACTGTGCATCTCTAGAGGTGCGATAAAACGAGTCTTGAAAAAAGAATTTGGTATGTGATCCAGCCACCTTTTTTAGATACTAGATAGTATTAATGTCTTAGTCTCTTGGTGGGTAAAGTCACTGTTTGGTTGTGCCATGTCACTGCCGCTTCTAGCCAATCTGTCCGCTATTCGGAAGAGTGCCAAATAGCAGTAATTTAGTAGTAATATTTCGACACAAAAAATCCTGTTTTTAAATTCTTCTTTGATTTGGGTTGTAGTTGTGATTTAAACTGTTTTATTAGTATTTAGATAATCTTAATAGAGTAGTTATTGTGTCATTAAAATAGTGGATTTACACCTAGACGTATGTAAAGTTTTCTGGATAACTAATTGACCCAGAGCCGTCGCGTCGCTATAAACAATATGGCGGACACAAGCGAATCCGTAGAATAGTTTTGTGGAAACCGATAAACCAAATCATCTGTTTACATGTGAGAAACTATATAAACATTGACTTTTTTCTTCTTCTTCTTCTTCTTCTTCTTCTTCTTCTTCTTCTTCTTCTTCTTCTTCTTCTTCTTCTTCTTCTTCTTCTTCTCGCTCTTCACGTTCACCGACTGTAAGTTAGTAAACAGCTAAAGTCTAGCCTAAACTCCTAAACTGATAAACACATTATTTAAAACACTGAGGCGGCGAAAAGTTCCGGTTGTTCGTCCACTTCTGGACTTCAGTCTTATTCTAGAACGGGAGTTTTGCATGCACATTTATTTTTTACAGATCTGGCTTTTTTGTGTGTAGACTCAGACTGTATGGGTCCTTACCTGTCAGGCAGATATCTTTGCGACTTTGATGGAAACCCTTGAAATTACTCGACTCTTACGACACGCTAGTTAGGGAAGCAGTGAATCTATTCTCCCTCCACAATGGGGCAGTGTAATATTAGTAATTGCTAATTCATAATGGTAATTGAATTAATCTAGAATCTTCACACACACACACACAAAAAATCTCAAGACATGACAAGATAAAGAAAATGTTTTTTAGAACAGTGATGCAAAAATACCTGTAGTACTGGGGATGCAAGTGAATTTTTACGTACTATTGAAGGATCATAGCCGTACAGAGATACTAATATCCAATCCAGTGATACCTTAATGAATCCTGTAAGTAAATTCCAAGCAGATATATTAATGTTTTGGGAGTCGCCGTGGCATAGTGGCTGGGCGCTTGCGTGCGGATCGGAAGGTCATAGGTTCGCTACCTGGCGGAGCCAGACTTTAAAAAAAAATGACCTTGACTTCCAGGTCAACCCAAATTGAGTGGTTACCGGGTGCAGTCCTAGGAAGTAAAGATAGCCACATCACACATCTTTTGCCGATTGGTCCATAAAAATATAGGTCTAGCCCTATATGCCTAAAGGCATGGAAAAAGGACCTTTACTTTTTTTTATAATAATGTTTTAGTGACTGATTCCACCATAGACACATTATAGTGTCATCTGACAAAATAAGGATGGCCGACTTGCGGCCCAGTAGACTTTTGTTTTGAAATGACTAAATTTTGGCATTTTATGGCAATATCTGTTTGTTTTTATTGGGTCCTTTTATATATCTGGAGGCGTTCGTAACATGAGGTGCCACTGTATTCCACGAATTGTCCCCTCACATTTAAGTTTAGAGAAAACATGAAAACAAAAAGTTATCAACTTAACTGTCTCTTGTACCACCCTAGGACTACGATCTAGAACCACAATTCCAGCAAAAAATGAATCTTGGATACCCGTCTTTATCTTCATAAACTAGTTATAATTAGGATACCCAATTAGTATTTAATCAAAACAAAAAAAGAAATCAACTTGTAAATACAGACTTTCTCAAGAGACCAAAAAATGATGAGAGAGTTGCTGAAGGAAATAAAAAAGCGACAAGTGAAACATTTCAGCCATATATTAACAGACAAAACATTCTTATAATTGCCATACTAGAGGCAACGATTGAAGTGAGCAAGAGGTAGACAGGGATACTTTGAAAGGATAACATTAACAGATGGATGAATAGCAGCATGAGAGAGTCTACATCCAGAATGAAAGACAGTGTGTTAAAGATCCATTGCAGTCAACTTTTATTGTGGAGATGGCACCTGACTGATTAATTTGTATCTATAATCACTACCATGACGTGCACTGCTCTTCTTGGTGAGTAAAGGGATTTCTAATGGTTGTAAAAAGTAAAGGACCTTTTCCACGCCTTTAGGCGTATAGGGCATAAAGGGCTAGACCTATATTTTATAGACCAACAGCACAAGTTGGGTGATGTAGTCAGCATCACGCCGGCCGCCTCTACTTCCCGAGACTGCACCCGGTACCCACTCAAGGCTGGGTCGACCTGGGAGTCAAGGTCATTTTTGAAGAAAAGTCCGGCTCCACCAGAGAGCAAACCCACGACCTTTGATGGTTGTGGATTGACATTATTGCTCTTAGTGCTTGACATCATCATCATCATGTTGCAGGTCCTTTGCAGAACGTCGCTCTCATCACAGTCTGCCTGTAAGAAACTTCGGTCTCTTGCCAGTTCCCCAGCCCCTTGAACTTTCACACTCAAGGAGTCACTTATATCCTGTGCCCCTCTTCGTGTCGGTCGGCCTCTGCCCCTCCTTCCTGGTACCATGCCTTCTGCTATATTTTTTTCTAATCCGTCGTGGCGCTTGATATGACCAAAATATTTCAGTTTCGAGAAAGGATGCTGTTTATTAGCCAATCTTCCTTGATGTTCAGATCTTTAAAGATGTCAATATTTCTCATATTCTTTGTCCAAGATATTCTGAGAATCTTTCTACAGCATTTTAGCTCAAAAGCCCCTATTCTCTTTCTTAAGGACTGAGAGATAGTCCACAACTCACATCCGTATGTAGCCACAGGGAAGATGCATGCTCTCAAAATTCTAATTTTTATCTCCTTGCTGGTGCTTAACCATAGACTTTTAAAGCTGTTCAATCTTTGCATTGCTATGGCCATCCTCCTTTTAATTTCTGTCAAACAGTCTCCATTGTTGTTTATTATAGAGCCTAGATATTCAAAGTTTATGACATTTTCAATTTCTTCATCATTTATTGTTATTTTTGGGTGACAGCCAGTTTTATCTGTGGACATTATTTTCGTTTTCTTTAAATTCAAGAACAGATTTTGATCTTCACTGTGCTTTTGGGCGGACAATATTAAATTTTCTATTCCCTTTACGCTGTTCGAAAGGAGGACTGTGTCATCTGCGTAGCAGAGTTCCGGAATAGGGTTGCCACCAATTTTGAGCGGATCATAACTGTCACAAGTCTTGTCATTTTTGACATTTCTCATTATATTTTCTGCGTATATATTGAAAAGGTATGGTGAGAGAATGCACCCCTGCCTCACCCCCTTTTGCACCTCGAACCAATCAGATGTTTCACCAGCTGCTCTGCTGGCTGCTTGTTGTTCATGATAGAGATTTTCAATTAAATGCACTAAATGCGATGAAAACCCCATACTTTTTATAATAGTCCACAGTTGGTGGTGCTGGACACAATCAAATGCCTTGCTATAACCAATAAAACAAGCATGAAGATCTACATTGTATTCTCTACATTTTTCAAAAATTATTCTCATATTAAATATGTGATCCCTGGTTCCTCTACCCTGTCTGAAACCCGCTTATGTTATATAAAATATCATATTTTGAATTAGTATTTCAGATACAGAGGTTCTGATCTACATGTAGTAGTGCACTAGGACCAGGTCACAGAGCGGTCTATCTACATCTCTCCAAAGTCATCCTAGAAACAGGTTCTCTACCAGAGGTATGACCAGTGTAGATAGGGTGGACGATTCTGTCAAACTGTATCTGCCTGAGAGAATGAGCAACCAACAGTCTGCACACAAGCAAGCCACATATATAAAATAGATGTGCTAGCAGCACTCAAGTCCAGAAAAAAATCAAAGCCCACTATTGGAGAAACAGCCAGTACTTTCCAACCAGGAGTTTACACCTGTGAATGCTAAGAAGCAGAAGAAAAAGAACTAGTTTTTTTGAGATTTCAGATCATTGAATTATAAATTATGGAATGATTTGGTTGCATATGTTAATTTGCTTAATTTTTTTTTTTTTTTGTAAACAGGTTGCAAAGACTTTTAAATTATTCTGTTGCTTGACATGAAAGCATACTCACCGCCCTTGTCTTTGTGGCGTCTTGTTGAACAGCATGTACCTGAGCATGAACATGAGGAAATCAAATCTATGTTGGGAGCATCTCTTGTTGAACAGAGTCAAGAACTTCACGAGGAGGTACTGAACACAATGATTTCATAGTATAACTTGTCAGCATTGCAAATGGTGGAGAGGTTTAAACAGACAGACAGAAAGCTAGATAGAGCAAATTAATGTAAACGAACAAACAAAATGTGTTTTTGTCCAGTTTACTGTAATTTATGGGAGTAGCCTTGGTGGAGCGGCTAGAAGCTCACTGTGAATCGGAAGGTTGTGGGTTTGCTCCCTGGCGGACCAGGACTTTTATCAAAAATGTCCCTGGCTCCCAGGTCGACCCAGCCTTGAGTGGGTACCTGGTGCAGTCCTGGGAAGTAAAGGCGGCTGGGGTGGTGCTGACCACATCACACATCTTGTACCGATTGATCTGAAATACAGGTCTAGCTCTATATGCCCTATACACCTAAAGGCATGGAAAAGGGTCCTTTAGTTTACTTTACTTAACTGTGATTTCATCTGTTAACTGTCTCTATCTAGGTAACCATGGTTTGTCATGTAAATGTGTCAACATCAAGTAAACTGTCTCATTTACTATTTAAATGCACCTGTATGATAAATTGCCATTTCTCTACTTTTTATGTTAGCTGCCTTTCAGCAATGGTAACAGTATTTTATCATTGGATTAATTCTTACTAGGTCGCTAAACCATTTGAGTCTTTCTATCTCAGTGAATTTACCTATGGGTATTGTTTCAACAGTTTCTTTAATATCTTCATTTCTCACATCATCTGTTCAGATTTTGTTTGCGTTGTTCATTTTTGAGGTTATCTCCACTGCACATCGGATATGATCATAAGTGCTCCGATCTCCTCCTGAGTATGTCTCCAAGCATTTTTAGGCTAACAACTCCCATTCTGTTCTGGTCGATGTAACGACGGGTTGCTCCAGCTGATACACCCAGAGTTGTTTGCAGCCTTTCTTGAACATCTTATTTCACAAGTGGTTAGCCTCATAATCTGCGGTCAATGTCCAAGTCTGACAGTGGTAACCTAAAGTTGGAAAATAAAGATCACATTTATAATTTGTCATTTAATCTCTGTTGGAATATCTTAATATTGTCAGATTGGGGTTAGTTGATATGTCTTTAATAGGAGCATTATTATTTTCACATTATGATTCTCTAAAGCCAAAAAGTTGCATCTAGCGTATTAGTCATTTTTCAAAACAGTATGACCTACCCTGTCTGGACTTCAGTTACTTTGTAACTGGTGGGAGCTCCAGTACAGCTTTATGACTGAATGGGATTGCTGAGATTTGTACCTGGGGGATTCTCATCTTCTTCTTTCTTTGGCTTGAAGGCAGGTGTGTAACCAGAAGGTCTGGCCGACTCACTACACTCAGAGGAAAGGCAAGACAGACATAAAGCCAGATTGTGACCGGTACCATCAGTATTGGAACTCTGCGCCGGCTGCTGAAGATGAGGACGGAGCAAAAATGGGAATGCCCCGAGTGCTGTGATGTCAATTCTTGACTTAACTCAACTCATCTCTTTCGCTTGAAGTAGATTATCTATGTCTGCAATGTTGTCACTAGGATGAACTTCACTGTCTGTTGTGGATACTCATCTGAATGGTGAGGTTTTTCACTTTGCATCAGTCGGGATTATTTGCTTATTATGGGAGTTCAACTCTACTTAACTTCTTATTATTCATTTAATTAATATAAATGGTAATTCTGTTTTGTAGATTGAGATGCTGCTGGATATATGGAGAGAAATGAGAGGTGAGAACACTGAAAGTGTTTCACCACAGAGTTCATTACCAGAACCTCCAGACCAGAGAGACCGGCTTATTCAGGAAATCTGCTTCTTTGTGGATAACGTTAAGGAAAAGGCCAAAGAGAAAGGAATGTAAGCATTTAGGCAAGCTTTATCATTGACCTTTCTTATCATTATCTTTTTCTTTCCATTCACCAGCGGTAAGCTCTGGTTGAAAAGTTTTAGTTGTTCGTTCACTTATAGACTAAGATCTTGTTCTAAAACTTTTGAGTTTTGCCAGTGCATCTGTTTTACAAATCTGGCCTACTTGTATGCAGACTGTTGGTTCCTCATCTCTCACGTAGATGTACTCTAACTTCAACCCCTAATTAGTAGACTTTTATGACATGCTTGTTAATGGGGGCAGTGGGTCTATTTCCCTCTCCCTCCACCCTAAATGGGGTCCCAGAACCCACACAGGGATTATCATTTTTTTTTCTCTTGATATGTTAAGGCCAGATGAATGCATGAATCAAAGAATCAAAGCACACTATTCTTATCATCTGGAAGCCAAAGTAGTGCAACGGTTAAACAGTTAGACACTTGCCTGATGGTCTAAGGTTCAAAGCCGCATCAGGACATATTTTTGAATAATTAATGTTGGCTTCCAGGTGAACACACCCTAACTATGCATCACCAAATGTTGCTGGTATGACATTGACCGCATCACTCATTTAGTGCTGACTGGTCTATACAAATAAGAATCTTGCATAATATGCTACTGGAGTGAGAATGATTTGTTACATTAGGGCTTTTCAACTGACGGTCTCTGGACCAAATCCAGCCAGCATGAGCCTAATAAGTGGCCCACGGCTTATTACCAGTTGATTCTACGCTAGGGCTCAAGGCTCCCCTTTTCAACACGTTGGTTCCTGATTAAACTTACTTTAATAGCCCTGCTTTGCATTTTTCTTATCATTATCTTCCTTCTAAAAACAAGTTTGAGTCTCTGTCAAGACTGAGTTATTAAATTTTACTGAGCTACCTGGTTGACTCAGCTTAACTCTTTTAGTCCCAAATAACGCACCGGGCGTGATTTGCTATTGTCCACATGACCCAGGCAAAAGCATGATCTGGTATAATGAATACTACTAAAATCAGGTCAGTTATTTTAATTTGCAACATGGTCTGTGTTTCAGACCAAATGTGTATATTCTGCCTCTGTTAAATTTATGCACTCATGTTCTATTTATTGTTGCTGTTTCTATGTGATATTTTCTGTAAAGCCTTATCCTGGGAAGAGAAAATGCAACCTAAAAACTGAATGTTCTCACTGGGCATGCCAGGTCCCTAGCACTGGTTGGCAGTTGTTCAGTAGGGAAATGACACATGGACTGACAGAAAGCTGCTGCTGTTCTGATCTGGCAGCTTCTGCAGCATGCTTTATTCCAAACAAATTGGTGTTGCCTTTCCTTCCTAGCAAACAAGGCAGACAGAAGGATTATGATGCATGGGTAATACTTGATCTCTACAATACTGCCCAGACTTTGTTCTAGGAAGATTAGAAACTTTGTCCCAGGCTTTAATTGCCTATTGCCATGTGCTGCCATGCTCTTGTCTCCCCATAGTGCAATATAACACTGTGTGAGGTAAGACAGAAAAGGGCCAGCGTTAACAATTACATGATATTTGAGATAGTAAAATATGAAGAGGTATGATTGCCTATGCCAGCTGGCAAAGCACTTGATGATAATGATGATTGTGGTGCTGAGGAGGAAAAGACGGGTCAAGACTTTTGTATTTCTTTTTTTTTTTTTTGCAATAGGATAGAAATGCAGATCTTTTAAAAGGACCGTTTATTATGTTGTGTTATGATGGTTGTTGCTTTGCATCAATCCAGGGGTCAAAGGTTGTGAGAGTCACATGGATATACTGCCCAGGCCATGCAGGCATGTTTGAAAACAAGCAGGCAGATATGTTAACTGAGATGGCCTCATTTAGGTGTGTACTGCAGCTGTAGAGGGCAGAGGTGACCTCTTGCCTGTGGGACAAGGTAAAAAGTAAAATGGAAGTTATTGAAAACCCATGCCTGGAGAGAATCATGCAGTTAGAAAGCTGGGTGTGGGTGGGGGGGGGGCGGTGAGCACTGGACGCCACCCGAGACTCAGGGGAAAGATGACACGGGTATTTAACCAGATGAAAATGGGTACCGTAAGTATAGAAACTCTTTGTTGGTCATTGAGATGGAAGACGGAACTGAAATGGGTTTGTCATGAATGCTGTGATGTTCAATCATAACCCAATTTTTTTTAATCTGTATTCTCACAGAGACCCTCAACTTATTTTCAAGAGACATAATTCACAAGTCCTGGATTATGCAGCAGAACTTACAAGTAAGTGATGCTTACAAAACAAGTGAGTAATCTTTGTTTAAAAATAAGCAATTATAGTAAGTCATTGATTGTAACTATAAAGAGCTTAGAACTATATATAGAAAAGTTTAACATAATAAAACAGTAATTTGAAAACAGTTTATAAACAAATAAGTAATCATTGTTTAAAAAAAGTAAATATAATAAGCCATTGATTGCAATTATAAAGAGCTCAGAGCCATATATAGAAAAGTTAAACATAATAAAACAGTAATTTGAAAACATTTAATAAACAACTAAGTAAAATAAAACACACCAATCGCTGTAGACGCCCTGGGTAGTTAACACACTTTAGATATTTTCTCTGGGTCATGCCATGTGTTGAGAATTGAACAGGCAGATACATTTTTTTTTCCTGCACTTCTTGGTGGTAAACTGGTGCATGACCAGTTAGAAGTTGTAAGGGTGCTTTGAGATTAAGTGAACAGTGTGCAGGCACAAACAGATCATATTTGTCTGAGGAGAATTGGGCCGTAAGGAGTGACCAGAAGATCTGGTTGACCCTGAGCACTCTAGGAAAAGATGAGATGGATACACAATCAGACAGTTACTGGTACCATTGGAATTGAAACTCTGTGCTTTCTGCTGAAGATGGGGATAGAGCGCTTATGAGAATATCTCAAGTGATATGGCGGTTCTTAACTCATAACTCAGGTCAGTGTAGGTGCCATAAACTTTGCAGGTTAGGATTCTCCCCCCCCCCCCACCCCCCCCCCCACCCATCCCAACAGTAAAAACACACTGAAATATTCTGGGTAATAAATTATGCAATGTCTGTCTGTAGGTATGTATGTATATATAAACATTGTGTTATTTAAATTTACAATGGGAAAACATTGTTTTGAATAAAAATGAAAAGCAGAGTATTATACAAATGATTTTAACATCACCAGGGCCCGAATCTTCAGCTAAGAGGACATCATCATCAACGTCATTAGATGGACGAGAAACTCCTTTACTGTCTTCAGTTGATAACAGGTTAGTATCAATATTAATACCTGCTTATGAATTAGGTTTGGAGAAAAATGGCATAATACATGATCATCATGTATCAAGTCCTTTACAGAACATTGCTTCCATCACAGCTGCCTGAAAGAAATTTGACCCCTGGCCAGCTCTCTCCTCTCATGCATTTCCTGCCCAAAAATATCTCCTACCTCCTGTGCCGATCTTTCTGCTGTTAGATGTTTGACTCTCTTATCCTTTGGAGGCCACATTATGGCAGTCGATAGGAGAGTCATTTTCCAATCCAGCTGCGACTCATTGCAGCCCACGGCTGGTGTTAGAAACCGGGCGGTTCCCGGGGTTTACCCAGCCTCGGGGGTAAATTGAGTAACGACGCTGTAGCTTTGGAGTTGCATGCAGATGGCGACACAGGCGGACAGTTTCTTATCAGCTGTCCGTACTGGTGGCAGAGCACTTATGGTTTATAACCATGTGCAATGTTGCTAGTTCACATCTCCCGACTTTACCTTTACCTCAACCTTTACTCTCTTATCCGATACCATGCCTTCTAGTACTGTTCTTTCTAAGCCATCTTTATGTTTGATATGGCCAAAGTATTTCACAGTTTTAGAGACATGACATGAACTGTTTAGTTGCCCATTTTCCTATATATATATATATATATATATATATATATATATATATATATATATATATATATATATATATATATATATATATATATAAACACACACACTTGTCAGCCCAGACATTTGAAGGTGTTTCCATCTTATGTTTGAATTGGTGAATTAAAACAGTTCTGGGCCTATGGTATTTTGCCTTGTGATCATCATTGTGTCTCTTAGGAAAGTGCAAGTGATAATAATTAATCATCTATTTTTGTATTCTTTAAAAGATTTGGCTCTCCTAGCAGATTTGGCGGCAAGCTAAACTGCTTCGGCCGGCTTAGTGGGGCTTAGTGGGAGTTACGTCCCTTCGCCAAACTCAAAACAAGTCGCGGAAAAAGTCACGAATCAAATGACATACTTACCTATTATCATCCGGGTGCGTGTAGGGTTGCGTATGGTGTCTATCATCGTCCTACGGTTGCGTGTAGGGCTGCTTATTGCGTGTAGGTTGGTTGTTTGCGTAAAATGAGGGGTGGGGTTAGGGTTTAGGGTTAGGGTATAGGGTTAGGGTATAGGGTTAGGGTTTAGGGTTATGGTTCAATGTGAAAGTTTTCACGTAGGAGGTCGAATTAGTGGCCGACAATCTGATGCTTGTGGGAGTGGCGCCACTGAAACTCTGCCAAATATGACGCCAATAGCGGGCGGCTGGTGCCCAATCGGTGGCGAATTGTCCGTGTCAGTAGCATCCACCGTCCGTCGACTGTTTGCGCGTGCATGCGACTGTGCGCGATTATAGGTAACTACGGCGTCACAATTGTCACATCTAACGCTGCACTTAACCCTACCCCTAACCCCTAACCCTAACCCTACCCCTTACCCTAAACCCTAACTCTAAACCCTAAACCCTAAACCCTAAACCAAAACCTTAACCCTAACCCTAAACCCTAACCCTAAACCCTAAGCCCTATACCCTAAACCCTAACCCTAAACCCTAAACCCTAAACCCTAACCCCTAACCCTACCCCTCATCTTAAGCAAACAACCAACCTACACGCAATAAGCAGCCCAACACGCAACCGTAGGACGATGATAGACACCCTACGCAACCCTACACGCACCCGGATGATGATAGGTAAGTATGCCATTTGATTCGTGACTTTTTCCGCTCGATGTTTTGAGTGCGGCCACGGGGACATAACTCCCACTAAGTCTCGCTAAGCCGGCCGAAAGCAGTCGAAGCAGTGCAGCTTACTGGCCAAATCTGCTAGGAGAGCCAAAGATTTTTGATTCCATGCTAAATTCTATTAAGAAAATTCTTGTTTAAAATAGCACGTTTTAATATTTTTGAACCCACAATAACTGGCCTGACCTATCCATTTATAATTATTCTCTTATTTTTCTCTTTTAGGTTTTGCCACTTTCCACTCTATCTTGTGTTCTCAAAATGTGGTTTGATGAAAGTGAGAGCACCAGAAGCAGTCACCAGATACATTACTCCTTTATGATCTATTAAAGATGTCTGGTTTTTTAAGACTCTTCTAAGCGATGGACGTGTGCGACAGAAAGAGTTTAATACCTTATTTGTTTGTGTAAAAATCTCTCTTGTACAAGTTGCACCCCACAAATTTAAAGAAATCTTCTCTCTCTCTCTCTCTCTCTCTCTCTCTCTCTCTCTCTCTCTCTCTCACACACACACACACACGCACGCACGCACGCACGCAGGCAGGCACGCACGCACGTGCGCGCGCGCGCGCGCACGAAATTTAGACTCTGCCATTTTGCACTTTTTGACATTGTGCACACTTTGCTTTGTTCATTTTGCACAAAACATCCTGCTGAAACTACCAAAGCTTTATAGGTTCTTTTTTTCATCATTGGTGGAAGTCGGAAATGATGTTTTACTGAGCTGTTACCATGTTCTTTAGCATATTTTATCACCTTATCATCATCATCAAGTGCATTGTCAGTTGGCGTAGGCATTCATGTATCTTCATTGATCTCTTTGGTGTTCTGGATCAATTCCACTGATTATATTTCTCCATGCCCCTGTCTTAAGCCACCTACCATCATTTCTCTTGGTCTGGCTCTGCCTCTTCTATCAGTGATCTTTCCTGTCATCATGATTTTTTTCCAGTGCTGCTTTTCTCATTACTTGACTAAACAAACTTTGTTTGTCTCCATTTTCATTGTTGTATTTAATGTTCTGCTTTCATTAGCCATTTCCAGGCAATCTTTGTTAGTTATTCTGGCCATCCAAGGTATTCACAACATTCTTCTCAAGAACCAGATCTCAATGGCCTTCAAACTCTTCCTAATTTGTTTGGTCACATTCCAAGATTCACTGCCGTACAGCAGAACAGGTTTGATGTAACATTTAGGTACTAGTTTTCTGGTTATCCTCCGAATAACGGGCACTAAAGATGGTGGCCGCAAAATATTCTTACGAGCCTCAGTCACATGTCATTTCCGCACTTTCGGCGACTGAATTTGCAGTTTTCTGGCGACTACCGCCACCGCCACGAGTTCCCCATGCAGCGTGGATTTGGGCTAAACTAGATGGCTAGGACTCACGAGCAGCAGCTTCCGCATCTCCTGCAGCTTTGCTCGTGAGTCCTAGCCATCTAGTTTAGCCCCAATCCACGCCACGTGAGTGGCGTGGGGGACTCGAGGCGGTGGCGGTAGTCGCTGGAAAACCGCAAATTAAGTCGCCGGAAGTGCGCAATTGACACATGACTGAGGTTCGTAAGGATATTTTGCGGCCGCCATCTTAAGTGCCTGATATTCGGAGAATAGCCAGTTTTCTGATGTTTCATCATCTGGAGTTTCCAATTCTCAGTGTATGAATGCTGCTTACTATCTTTTTCCATATCAGAATTGTGATTGCTTAGACATATGTATGAACTATCAGCGCACCACTGTTAATACACTCAAGTCTAATCTGCTGCTGTAACTCACTAACCGAAAATATTGACTCTGTTGTGATAAACAAAACAAAGAAATATTGATGCAGTAAACATTCATGAATTCACAGCCAATCAGCTTTCAGTATCATGTGACTATCTCATTATATTTCTTTCTCGGGTACATTACTGGTGAAAAACAAATGATAAACATCATTCTGGTGGGATGAAATGAAATGCTACTACCTAAAAAGAATTAGGGGGTCCCACAGCCATGAATTTCCCACTGTTCTCATCTCTGTCTCATTCACAGGACACATCAGTATAAGTTGAATGTGGAGCATTCCACGATCGAGAAAGGGACAAAAACTAGAGTGTGTGCAACTTTGAAAACTAATGGCACATTTAGGCCTGCCTTTGTTGTATAAGACACAGCCTAATTTTTAGGCCTATTTTGAGAACAAAATAAAGTGTGACTTATACAGTAATTTCATTAATTTACATTTAATTTCTTTCTTTGCAGAGAGAACCTCTCAGTAGAAATCACAGATGAAGTTCAAGCAGTGAATACCAAATTAAACTACTTGGATTTTGCCGAAGTTTGTGAAAATTTGAGGTCTGTCAATTTTTACAGATGTTAGTTTTTACAGATGTTATACTGTGTATAATTATACTATGATGCCTTTTAGTACCATTTCTTGATGCTATAAATAAAGCACCTTAATTTATGCTCTGAATGAGTAGAAAGCATTAAGAAGTTGCAGATAACCTCCATCATCTGGATCTAAACACCTGGGCATGCAGGGGTAAAAGGTGATGAACAAACCAACCAGCTTGCAAATAAGACATCAATGTATACCGAAAGAAGAATGGACAGAGCTGATATAAATGCTGTGTGGACTAGGATGGCCGATAATGATGGATCTTTGACGCTAACATGACCGAGTGACCTGCCAGTAAAGCTTGGTGAAGCACATCTGTGCTGTCTTCGAGGCCTAGACAGGAGACTAACTTTTCATAGGGACAGTGAGTACCTTGAAGTGGCTGCTGCATCGGAGGACTGAACACACATGGGAATGCCTAATGTGCAGTGACTTTGATTTTGGTAACATAACATTACATATTGAAAGAAGCAGACCATTGTCTTTAGATTGTAAACTGGGCACAACAGACACTACACCCATATGTACAAGAAATTCAAGTTGGGGGAATCTGAACTTAGTCTGTGTGGACTGTCACCCCAGACTATAACATGTGTTGCAGACATGTTCTGTTCATCCAGCAGAGATATTCCAGGTCTGGCCAGTTGGTATTTCAGTGAAAACCAAGCTGCATGGGTTAGTGGACAACATGCTTTGCATCACAGCTGTCATAGGGGCTTACTGCCTTCTCATCTGAAAACCACTGGCAGAGAGCATTAAAAAAAAAAGAAGAAATGTCAAACCTAGATGACAAAACAAAGGCATGTGAAACCAACTGGTCACTGGAGTGAAACGCAGAGGACAAAACAAAGGCATGTGAAACCAACTGACCCAACTGGTCACTGTAGTGAAGCGTAGAGGACAAAACAAAGGCATGCGAAACCAACCGACCCAACTGGTCGCTGGAGTTAAACGTAGAGGACAAAACAAAGGCATGTGAAACCAACCGACCCAACTCGTCGCTGGAGTCAAACGTAGAGGACAAAACAAAGGCATGTGAAACCAACTGACCCAACTGGTCACTGGAGTGAAACGTAGAGGACAAAACAAAGGCGTGTGAAACCAACTGACCCAACTGGTCACTGGAGTGAAAAGTAGAGGACAAAACAAAGGCATATGAAACCAGCTGACCTAATTGGTCACTGGAGTGAAACGTAGAGGACAAAACAAAGGCATGTGGAATCAACTGACCCAACTGGTCACTGGAGTCAAACGTAGAGGACAAAACAAAGGCATGTGAAACCAACCGACCCAACTGGTCACTGGAGTCAAATGTAGAGGACAAAACAAAGGCATGTGAAACCAACTGACCCAACTGGTCACTGGAGTGAAACGTAGAGGACAAAACAAAGGCATGTGAAATCAACTGACCCAACTGGTCACTGGAGTGAAACCTAGAGGACAAATCAAAGGCATGTGAAACCAACTGACCCAACTGGTCACTGGAGTCAGATGTAGATGACAAAACAAAGGCATGTGAAACCAACTGACCCAACTGGTCACTGGAGTGAAACGTAGAGGACAAAACAAAGGCATGTGAAATCAACTGACCCAACTGGTCATTGGAGTGAAACGTAGAGGACAAAACAAAGGCATGTGAAATCAGCTGACCAAACTGGTCACTGGAGTCAGATGTAGAGGACAAAACAAAGGCACGTGAAACCAACTGATCCAACTAGTCACTGGAACTTCAGATTAGTCAGATCTTCTGAGAAAGATGGAGCACTTATGGGCATATCCCAAATACTGTGACATCAGCATTTGATGACAGTTTCTGTCTTTAAACTTTCTACTTGTTATTTCTCTGTAATAAATCACCCTACCGTATTTGTCACATGTATAATGAGTCTGTGGTCTGTGATTATTAGGTCTACTCTAGAGAGAGAAGTGGATCAACTTATGAAGGACATCCAGTTTCTGCAGAGCTGCCTGGATAGTGAGGCTGACTTCAGAGATAGTCCTGCTCCTAATCCTTTCAGTAGAGAACCAACACTTTCTGGTATGAAACAGCCATTTGTTTTAATGATTCCTGTGAAACGAACAAATTGTACCACTCCACAATGGAGTTTGGCTGCTTTGTATCTACTGCTAATTATGGGAATATTATGTGATGAAATCCCAATCTCATCTACTGTTTAACTCTGGTACCATTGTCTGAAAGCCATGAGACCAGTCCTTTTCTGGACTGCCAATCATGGAAATTAAACCCTGGTGAGCATCAAGGATTGCATTGTGAAACAGTTTCACTAATTCCTAAGCTACAGGGAATTGCTATGATTCTCTTGCAAACATGACAACCCAGTTGTGCCAATGGCTTTGGTTAGAGGAGTGCAGTAGGAAGGATACTAACTTTGTAATATCAGGAAGAGGAAATGCACCATGATTACATAATGTATTGGCAGGGCTCTTTTCTTATGGTTGGCAGCCGGTCTAGGAGGGAAGCTCCAGTAGGTGGAGAGACAGAACACTGCTCTTCTTATCTGGAAGGTTCTGCAACAAGCTATTTTTCAAATGTATTGGTGTTACCTTTCCTTTGGAGTGTTCACATTTTTAACTTTTACTGGCTGTAAACTCTGGCAGAAAGTTCCGGATGTTCGCCAGCTTCTAGACTTTGATCTTGTTCCAGAACTTGAGTTTTGAGTGCTTTTAACTTTTTTCAGATCTGGCTTATTTTGTGCACATGGTTAGTTCCCTCCTTTCAGCAGATTCACTCTGACTTCGAAGGGCATACTCTTAATTGGTCAACACCCCTCCCCCCCCCAATTGGAGCTCTTTTGTAGTAAACAAGGCAGGCTGAGAGGCATCATGCTGCAAAGGAAACACATGATCTCTATAAAGCACAGGCTTTGTTCTGTGGAGAGGAGGTTCCTACAGCACAATATAACACTGTCGTCTGGAAGGATGGAAAGGCACCAACAACAACACCTCACCTTGCATAGATTGCAGTCCTTGGTAGCTTTATTACAGGGAGATCATGGTTGATCTTCTCTGGCAGATCCGCGTCTGTTTCCAGGATGCCTCATGAGGAGATGATGAGGGAGAATGGTTTTACATGATACTTTACCATGGCAAGTCACCTTCTTTGGATGATCACCCAGCAGTAAACTAAATTACAGGAATTTTGTTGGAAAAGAAAGCAGGTGATGACGGAGCTTGTTGCTCATGCCATAAAGCTTTCAGCAAGAAAATATATTTCAACAAAGAAGCACAAACAATAGGTTGCACGATTCATTGCCTGGCATATTTCACTGTATCTCGTCAGGTGCATACTACAGTAGTAACATTTACATAAATGAAGCAAATAAGTAAATCCTTTATAACTGAAGTACAATTTCAATTTTTATGTAATTGTTACTGTTTTGAATGCACCTGACGAGATACAGCGAAATATGCCAGGCAATAAATTGTGCAATCTATTGTTTGTGCCTTCTTTGTTCAAATTTACAACGGGGAAACATTGCTTTGAATTTCTGAAAGTAAACATATATATAATTATTCAGTGGTACCTCAGAATTTGAACGCCACAAAATTTGAACAACTTGGAATCTAAACTAAATTTTCAAGTAAATGTTGACTCACAACTTGAATGCCACCTTGGAAACCGAACACCTGGCATATGCTAGCGAGAGGGTGAATTCCAAAGGATTAGCACTGCTGAAATCTAAGATCTTTTGACCATGTGGTTGAAAATCCAAAAAGTTGTTGAGAGATGGCACCCTGATAGAGACCTAGTTAACAAGTATGTTAACTTATTCAGTGATAACTTAACTAATATTTATTTTAGAAAAATTAGAAATGGGTGCCACCAGAGCACTTTGGAACACTGGCTGCCAACTAAAACTAACGATTGCAAGCCCCTACAAGCCATGAAAGACTATGATAAGAAACAACAGAGTACTTGGGAACACTGGCTGCTAATAAAAACTAACGATCGCAAACCTCTACAAGCGTTGAAAGACTACGATATGAAACACCATAAAGGATTCCTGATGTTATCATGGAAAGTGACTGGCTTTCCAAACAATAATGTCCCTAAATCTGGCTTCCTTCTCCTGTTTTTGCAATGTCACCATTCAAAAACAAAACAAAGTACAGTAAACACTATGTCTTAATCTGTTTTATTTATTTTTGTTTTTATTCCACAATTTGGAATTCAAAAGCTATCTCTGAGCAGATAATGTTCAAATTCCAAAGTACCACATACTGTGAGTCTCATTTGTATTTGCGAAACTGTACTTATATAAATCTACTATGATGGTATCATATATAAATTCAGTACCGTATACAAAAGAGGAAAAAAGGGGTGGGGTGAGAAAGTTTCGCCTGAGGATTTAGGACCGCACTGCTAGTACAGTAATGACAAACTGTGCATCTTAAAGGAAAAGCTATAATGCCAGACACAGAATATAAAAAAACTAATCAGCATTCCATGAATGATATAATGAACATCATGCTGGGTGCCTTTACTTCCCAGTACATTTTATGATACCCATTTTATTCTGGGTTGACCTGGGAGTCCTATGTCAAATATACAAAACTGGCCCTCATTGCAGATTTTCCCCCAAGGTGCAGGTTAGGTTAGGATTTCTAAATTTTACCGCTCAAGGGATGGGGGGGGGGGGGGGGTCTATCATGGAATTATCTTTAATGTTAATTATTTATACAACTGTATCTGTACTAAGTTGAATTAGTTATTATTAACATTACTGATTATCATATATTTAATTTATAAATAGGTAATCTGTTTTCTGACTGTTGAATGTTTTGTTACTTGTATAGAGCTTAGAGAGGAAAGATCACACCTGGAGAAAGACCTTTTAGCAACAACCAGAATTACAGCAACTCCACATGTAGCTAAACCTAGTTTTATTCTAAGCAACACGTAAGTATCTTCTACTTTATGTCATTTTTGCTGCAACATTAATTTGTTTTTGTGTAAACATTCTCACCAAAACAGATCCTGTACTAGCAAGACAACCTTGGTTCACTTAGTAATTTAGTAATGCATTGAACTTTACTTTAAACTTTTAAAATGGATTTATAGACAAGGAAAAAGCTTTGACAGCAATAATTGGGGAACACTTTGATGAGACACTAAGGGAACTTAGAGAAAATCATTAAACTAAAGTCACAGAATGCCGAGTTTTTTTTGGGGGTAAGGAATACTAACAGGCATCATCATCAATTTCTACTTCTGCTGTTAGGCGTCGTGGAAAGGAGCTGTTTGTGATCCATTGCTTGATGGGCAGCAGTGACTATTGTCATTCCATGTTAATGTAGCAGTTTTTTAATGTCATCGATGCATGTCCTCCTAGGGCAGCCTCTTGCTTTGACATCAGGTATTTTCATGTGTAGTCCAGCATTGGTATGTGTTCTGACTGCATCTTACAAGATGACAGACCAGTTTATCTTCTGTTTCTCAATTAATTTGCTGCATTGTGTTGTTCCTACAGTCTTTCTGGTAATATCAATTCTAACTGTCTCTGATGGTTAAGGTGGCGACTTTTCTCAGTCATCTCATTTCACACTGTTAACTTTACGTAGGTTAGCCTTTGATAATGTCCAACTCTTATGCTTGTAGCAAAGTTTGGTATGAATATGCTGTTTATAATCTGTTTCTTGGCACTCATACTTATGTTTGGATGTCTTTTTAATGGTGTCAATTGGTATATAAGTGCACTGGCTCATTGAGATCTTGTTTCTATTTGCCAATCTATTCTCCCATCCTCTGAGAATATATTTCCTAGATATTTAAATTCTTAATCTTGCTTCAGACAAGTTCTATTTAACCTCACATGTAGCTGACTAGGCATTCTACTGACCTGCATTGTGAAGTTCATACTAGAGACAACATTGCATAAATAGATAATCTATTTCAAGCGAACGAAAGAAAAAGAATAACACAATGGCTATTAGTATAGGTATACAAAAAGCAAGAGGACCTGTTAAAGTTGAAGACCAAAACATACTTCTTCAACATTTGTCATTAAAAGGGCAGTTGACCCATTGCGTTGTGGTTTACAGATAGACCACACTGTCTGCATCTTTCAGCCCAACACATCTGATTTCATTGAATCTTAATTAGTCACCTTTTTATTTAAAAAAAAAAAACATAAAGTCGGGAGATGTGAACAAGCATCATTGCACACAGTTATAAACCATAAGTGCTCTGCCACCAGTACGGACAGCTGACAAGAAACTGTAGGCCTGTGTCGCCGCCCGCACGCAATTCCATAGCTACAGCAACGTTCCACCATTTACCCCAGAATGTTAGCTCTGGTACCCATTACCTAGAGGCTGGATGAACCCCGGGAACTGCCTGGTTTCGAACACCAGCCGTGGACTGCAGCAAGTCGCAGTTGGAATTGAAAGTGAGTCTTCTATCGACTGCGCTAACACAGCCCCCTACCTTTTTACGAAATTCTTGCTAAGGGGAAGTAGGTCTGTTTCCCTTCCTATCTCCCTCAGATGGAGCCCCAGAATTCACATGGGGTCAAGGCTAAAATATCAATATTGTGGGATTGACCAGTGACATAGTTTGAGGAGCAGTTGTGACACATACAAGAGATACCAGCATTGCCACTTCCAAATATTTCCTTTCATGAATGAACAACACTGCAATAAATCATAAATTTCATGTGAAGTGAAAGAATCTACCTACGGAAAAATCCTGACCATTTCTTTTATAGGGATCTGAACAGAAATAACGCAATGATGCACAAGGTGGATTAAGTGTAGGTATAGTTCCACTGGAAACATTTGTGGAAAGAGAGACAGGGGAAGATAGCGTGAGAAGATTCTTGATGGCTTTTTTGTCATAACACGGAGGGGTGTCAACACACAAATTGATAAACGCAGCTGCAGATCGTAGAGTGTGGAAAGGCATGATCGCCCAGGCCAGTCTGTAAGGCACTCGATGTTGATGATAGTTCTTTTAAATGAATGTTGAGAACACTGAGATCTGCAGATGTTGTAAGATCATTTTTTAAAATCATAAGGGAAAAAAACACATACATTTGTGGGGCATATTAACTGAATAGCTGGACTAACTAAAGAAATAATCTGGAAAATACTGGGCCATACCAGGCAGAGCAAATCAAGAAAGCTGTATATAGGCATAATGAGCAACATAATATTAGCAACACAAACATCTGCTAAATATAAAATGACATGTTTGAAGAGTCAGTATCATCAGTGGTTACTTAAGTCCAGATAAGAAGAAGAAGGAGGAGGAGGAGGAGGAGAACAAGCAGAAGCAGAAGAAGAAGAAGAAGAAGAAGGGGGAGGAAGAAGGAGAAGAAGAAGGATGAGGAGAAGAAGAAGAAGGAGGAGGAGGAGGAAGAAGAGAAGCAGAAAAAAAGAAGAAGAAGAAGAAAAAGAAGAAAAGGAAGGAAGACTTTTGATGACTACTACTTTGTTTGTCCAGACACCAGAAGAAGAAGAAGAAGAAGAAGAAGAAGAAGAAGAAGAAGAAGAAGGAGCAGCAGCAGAAGCAAAGAAGAAAAAGAAGAATGAAGAAAAAAGAAGTAGAAGATAGAAGAAAAGGACTAGGAGGAGTTTTGATGTCTACTAATACTTTTTTTGTCCAGACACCAGAAGTTGTTGTCTAATAATATTATGTTTGCCCAGAAACAAGAAGAGGAAGAAGTGGAAGGGAAAGTATTAGGAGGAGGTGAAGAAGAAGGAAGAAAAATGTTTTAATGCTTAATAATCTCTTCTCTGTCTCACATTCCATATTTGGAAGTTCAATAAAAAATTATATAAAAATTACCTCAAACTGTTTCTTTCTAGGGTTTTGTTGTCAGCACCACCTGATTTATCAGCAAGTTCTGCACAGACCTGGCCATCTCCTCTAAAGGCAGATCACAGTTTAGTGGGTGCAGTAAGAGAGGACTGTGATACTGAATCAGCTGCATCTGGCACAAGCTTGGCATTGAAGAACCAAATTAAAAAGGTCCAACTTTTGAAGTCTCCCATTCAAACGCAGCAGAAAAATTGTATATCAGCTGTAGAAAGTGACAGAAACCCAAAATCCTTAAAGTCAAACTTAGATCAAACCCAGCATGCATCAAAATTGTCATTAAGAGAAATATCACCAGGAAGTTTATCATCAAGTAATAAGAATGATACGAAGAATCTCAGACAGTTGCCAGGCACCAAAGTTTCCAAGAATACTGAAGGCTATAATAAGCAATTGTCATCACCAGCCAAATCAGGGAGAAAACAAGAAAATGCCAAAGTGACTATGGGAGTTATAAGGAGAACAGGAAGTCCAGGTCGTGTGAGAGTTGTTGGACTGACCACGGTGGTCAGCTCCCAGTCCAGCAGAGACAAGAACACTCTGTCAGACTTTTCCTCCACATCCAAATCACCTTCTGATATCAGTCCATCTTCTATTTCTTCATCACTAAGTATTGACACCCCAGCAAGACCACGCAGTGCACATGCTGATAGATTCAGAAAGATGGTGCTGGGGTGCAGAAATGGAGACTGAATGTTGCCAAAGCAATGTTTTATCATTGTGAATTTGAACAAAGAAGACACAAGTAATAGACTGCACAATTTGTTGTCTGCCATATTTCTCTGTATCTCATCAGGTACATACTGCAGTAACAGTTGATTCAGTCCAGAATTATGCAAACAAAAGGAAATGGTCGTTCACCTGTGTTTGTCCAGGTGAAACAGGCAGTTACTTTTGAATGCAGTCGATTGTCTGTTTCATTTAGAAGGATTTATTCATTTGTTTCATTCATTTGTTTCAATTTTGTCAATTGTTACTATTGTGTGCATCCGCTGAGATACAGCAAACTATTCCATGCAGTGAATGGTGCAATCTATTGTTTCTTCTTTGTTCCTGCTGAATGTTATGTTTGTTGTCAAATGTTTCTTCTGCTAAAATTCTTTCCGCTAATTGTATGCATTTGTTAGTTGAACTAACAGTTCAGTAAATAGAAACTACTGTGAACATGGAATGTGAGTAGTACAACAAACGGAAATAACATCAGCCATTCTATTATTTAAACCAGAAAATGTTCGTAGCTAAAAAAAAAAAAGGAACAGGAAACCTTGGTAAGGTAGTGGCTAGTATACTAGCGAGCTAGCTTTCTGGTCATTGGTTGAATTCTCATTAAAACAGTCACCTCAACATAAAATGGGCATAGGGAAATATCCTGGGAAGTAAAGACATGCTTCTGAGTTCTGCACTGGAACAGTCAAAAGTAGAATTGTGAGGGAGCTTTAAATGCAAACCTTCAAAGTGTGATAAAAAATGTTGAAAGTTGAATTAAAAATCAACATGACAGCACTCAGGACACTCCCATAAGTGCTCAGTCCCCATCTTCAGCAGCAAGCGAAGAGTTCCAATTCTGATGGTACCAGTAACCGTCTGATTGTATATCCATCTCATCCTTTCCCTGAGTGTTGAGCGTCGGCTAGATCCCCTGGTAAATCCTCGCAGCAATATTCTCCTTAGACCCTAATAATCTATCTGCACCTCTGCACTGTTTGCTCTCTTCCAAAAGGCTGCCGCAGTATCTAGTGTCATACATCAGTTCATCACCAAGTGGTGCAGAACCGACCAGTCTATCTGCCTGTTCATTTCCCAACACACTGGCTTAACCTGGAGAAAATATCCAATGGATGCTAACTACCTGGGATCTCTGAAGTGATGCTTGCCACTCTGCATAAATGATGCCTGTTTTCATCTTTCTCAACATGCTCTGTGAGTCAGTTACAATCACAGCATGTGTGTACAGCTGATTCTCAAGCCAGCGGAAGGCAGCAGAGACTGCCTCTACCGCCATTCTCAAACTAGATGTGATATCCTATGCAAGGCTTTGCCGCACTAGACAACATCCATTCGCCTTTGCTATGAAACCCCATGCATTTCATCTGCCCCTCAACACAGAGCCAAAGTGTGATCAAAGTTACAATGACCAAACTATTTTCTTGTAACCTCTCAATATTGTTGTTAAGGATGTCAAGTGTGTTAAGCTTGTGACATCATGGTTCAGACAAATGTGGGTCATGAACAGTCTGTCACAGAAGTCAGGCCAATTTTGAAACATCCTCATCCACTCATGCACTTACTGGACTGGCAGGCATGCATCACCACAATGGAACTTCATTCGTTGGTACATTTCACTGATCAAAAAACAAATAACAGAATGCTGTTCCTCTTTCATGCTTGTCAAAAGTGAGTTGATCATCTCTAAGCCTTCATATGACATCACCCTGTTCATCTGCACCATGATGTCACATGCTTAACGCTCTTGATTCCTTAACAACAATATTGAGAGGTTTCAAGAAAATGCCATGGTTACTCAATTCTGTCACACCTTTAAGTTTTCATTTGAAGCCCCCTCATTGTTGAAGTAACAACTAGAATAGAGAACATTTATATAACAACCAGCTGGGACAGGAGGAGTTAAAGTAAGTTTGTGATTTATGGTGTAACCGGTAAATGTATGATAGGTTGTTTAGTACAGAGTTAAAGTCCATAGCAAAGTCTGGTCTTTTTGTTCTTTTTCTTCTGCCTTTTATTGCACAATTAGTAATCTGGTAATCTGGTAATCCTAGTTTCAGCTTCATAGCAAACGGGTCACCCCACAGATGCTCCGCTCCTGTGCCAACAGGAGTATAGACGCCCAGTAAACATGCACCAAGTCATTGTATTCTTTGCATTATATACACCTAGATCAAAATATATAAAACGTTGATAAGAGCTGTCGTTTTATATGGCTCTAAAACGTGGAGCACAGCTAAAAGAGATGAAGCCTTATTACAGATTTTCGAAAACAGAGTCTTATGACGAATCTTTGGACCCATCTAAGATGCAAACAGTGGGGAATGGAGAGTGAGAAGCAACAACAAAGTTTATAATCTGTTTAAATCACCACTAATCACTGGCATCATGAGAGCTAATAGACTGAAATGGTTGGGGCATATAGAGAGAATGTCAGATGACACAGAAGTAAAAACTATATACCCCAGGGAGCTGGATGGTCGTAGACCACGAGGCAGACCAAGAAGAAGAGGAGAGATAATGTCCAGTCAGACCTTCAAACACTTAGTGTCACCAGCTGGAAAAAGAAGGCCAACGAGAGACATGAATGGAGATGGGTGATATCTGCAGCAATGAACCTCAAGGGCTCGGGATGCTGAAGCTTACCCTCTGTTCGGCTTATTTGATCATTTTCATCTCACTTTTACATTTTCATATTCAGGTGTTTTTTTGGTGTACCTTTGTTCTTTTGAAAGTATGGGTTCCAGTACAAAGGCATTCTGGTTATATTGCTATAAGGTTTTCAATGTGCGTCCTTTCCACCACCAGCGCCTTTTGTTACTTTTATATATACTGCTATATTTTATTGCCATGAATAGAAATATAAATAATTTTTTATTTCTGCTGATCTTATGTGGTGATCCATTTTTTAATTTACTGCTGAAAATATTCAGGGTTCAAAGAACTTGGCCGTCCAGATTTTGTATATATTGTTTGTATAAATAAATAAATAATTCAGTTTCATTGTTGTGTGAGATCAAATTAATATCTTATTTAAACATTTATACCTGTAGATGTATATATATATAGGTTTTCGAAAACAGTTAGAAGACAAATCTTGGGAGCCATCAAAGATGATAACGCGGGGAATGGAGAGTCAGAAGCAACAACAAAACACATAATATGTTTAAATCACCATTGATCACTGGCATCATGAGAGCTAACACACTAAAATGGTTGGGGCATATTGAAAGAATGTCAGATGACAGAGAAGTAAAAACTGTATACACCTGAGAAAGGAATGGGCGTAGACCACGAGGCAGACAAAAAATAAGTTCGAGAGATAATGTCCAGCCAGACCTGCAAACAACTGGTGTCACAAATTGTGAAGATAAGGCCAACCAGAGAGATGAATGGAGACGAGTGATATATGCAGCAGTAAACCTCAAGGGCTCAGAATGCTAAAGAAGAAGATGACTATTCTGTGCTACTTTATTTGAAGTAAAAGTTCAGCGTACATTTGACATTATAAATGTGCGTTTTTTATAATATTTTATACACTATACACTATTCGTACTCGGCCGAATAGTTAGTCCCGCTATTCGTATTTGGCCGAATAGTGAAAATCACTATTCGGTACAGCCCTAGTTTCCAGGACTATACCTGTTCAGCTACGTTTTATGTAGATGTTTAGGTAGGCAATCTAAATAGTTCAAGGTTGGGTTGAAATGGGAGCCAGGGTCAATTTTTTGAAGAAAAAAAAGCTGACTCCATCAGGACCCGAACCCACGACCTTCCGATTCGCAGGCCAGATTCTAGCCGCTACACACTAGTGGCTCCCTGCTAGAACCTAGTGGTTCCCCACTACACCCTAGTGGCTCCCTGTTACACACTAGTGGCTCCCTGCTACAACCTAGTGGTTCCCCACTACACCCTAGTGGCTCCCCACTACACCCTAGTGGCTCCCTGCTACAAACTAGTGGTTCCCCGCTACACCCTAGTGGCTCCCGGCTACACCCTAGTGGCTCCCCGCTACACCCTAGTGGCTCCTCGCTACATCCTATGGCTCCCCGCTACACCCTAGTGGTTCCCCGCTACACCCCAGTGGTTCCCCGCTACACCCTAGTGGCCCCCCGCTACACCCTAGTGGCTCCCCGCTACAACCTAGTGGTTCCCCGCTACAACCTAGTGGCTCCCTGCTACAACCTAGTGGTTCCCCGCTACACCCTAGTGGTTCCCCGCTACACCCTAGTGGTTCCCCGCTACACCCTAGTGGCTCCCTGCTACACCCTAGTGGCTCCCTGCTACACCCTAGTGGCTCCCTGCTACAACCTAGTGGCTCCCCGCTAACAACCTAGTGGTTCCCTGCTACAACCTAGTGGTTCCCCGCTACACCCTAGTGGCTCCCCGCTACAACCTAGTGGTTCCCCGCTACAACCTAGTGGCTCCCCGCTACAACCTAGTGGTTCCCCGCTACAACCTAGTGGTTCCCTGCTACACCCTAGTGGTTCCCCGCTACACCCTAGTGGCTCCCCGCTACAACCTAGTGGCTCCTCGCTACACCTTAGTGGCTCCCTGCTACACCACAGTGGCTCCCCGCTACAACCTAGTGGTTCCCCGCTACAACCTAGTGGTTCCCCGCTACAACCTAGTGGTTCCCCGCTACAACCTAGTGGTTCCCCCTACACCCTAGTGGTTCCCCGCTACACCCTAGTGGTTCCCCGCTACACCCTAGTGGCTCTCCGCTACACCCTAGTGGCTCCCTGCTACAACCTAGTGGCTCCCCGCTACACCCTAGTGGCTCCCTGCTACACCTTAGTGGCTCCCTGCTACACCATATCAACATTGTTACAACAAACTGTTCTCATTGGCTGGCAATATGCACAAGATAATATAAACAAGTCTGAGGCCACTGATGAAACTACAGTTGGCTGTACATATGCTCAAAAAGTTATTTGAAAAGAACAACAAATCCATAAGAACTTGTGTGT